CTGGCAACTGTATCAATTTCCTGGCTGTGATACCGAACTATAACTGTACAACATGTTACAACTGGGAGAAACTAAATGCCTTGCTGTGTTTCCCTGGGCCAGCTCCTTTCCTCTCTGTATCTCAGGCTCACCACCTGTAGGTGGATTATGATTTCTCTGATTTCTTCTATCCCTGCACACAGTGAGGTGTTCTCCTAAGGAAAGTATGAAGAAAACTCATCTTTGACTGCAGATGTATTTACAAGGATTCCACTGAAAAGAAAAGCAGAAAGAGAATGGATTTCAAGAGACCTGGTCTCTGTCCCCAAATCCCCACAGGACTGCTCAGGGAAAAGAGAACAATCACATGGCCCCAGAGGCCATTCATTCATGTGCATGGATGAAAACAAAATCAATGCTGAACAAAATAAGCAAGTATTTATAACATTTATATAAAGTTCAAAAAGATGCTGATTGAAACACATTATTCAAGGATACATCAGAGGTGACAAAATAGGCACTTCATTGGAGGGAAGAGTGGGAGCTGCAATTGGAAAGTGGTGTATTTGCACTGGTAAATGCTATACTTCCTGAGGTACATAATTGGTACTGGAGAGTTATTTATTTATTTATTTTTCTTAAAGGGAGAAGCAGGCTTCCCGTGGAGCAGGGAGCCTGATGCGGAGCTTGATCCCTGGGCCCTGGGATTAAGCCTGATGCGGGGCTTGATCCCAGAGCCCTGGGATTAAGCCTGATGCGGGGCTTGATCCCAGGGCCCTGGGATTAAGCCTGATGCGGGGCTTGATCCCAGGGCCCTGGGATCATGACCTGAGCCGAAGGCAGACACCCAACGACTGAGCCACCCAGGTGCCCCAAGAGTTATTTTTTTTAAAGCAAACTATAACTATTCTTAACTCTCATTTATATAGAACATAGTTAATATGGGAGGAAAAAAGTCTATAAAATAAAAATGAGGCCAGTAAAGTAACAATGTTAGAGAAAAAGGAGATGTGATAAGCTAGGGTAAGATTACTGAGTAGTATCGAATTCATGCTATTACTTCAAATCAAGACATTTATTATTAATCCAAATATAGAGCAGTTATAGATATAGAGCAAGTATGTATCAACTGATTTTCAATAAAGACGCCAAAGAAATTCAATGGAAAAATGGTAAGTCTTTTCAACAAACAGTGCTGGAACAACTGGACATTCATATGCCAAGAACAGAAAATTTCTACCCTTCCCTTGTACCATATACAAAACTTACCTTCTAATGTAGTCCTAAATGTAAAATCAAAAACTTTAAACTTCTAAAAGAAAACCTATCTGACCTCGGGTTAGGGAGAAGACTTCTGATGACACCAAAAGTCCAAACAATGAAAATGAAAAATAATTAAAAAATAATAAATGACACCTCATCTAACTCAAAACATCTATTCTTTGAAAGAAAGTAAAAAAATGAAAATAATATAGTTAAAAAATTCAAAATATGTATCTGACAAAGAACACATACCTAGGATATAAAAAGGTCTTTTACAACTCGGTAAGACAAGTGAACAAAAAAAAAATGTGCAAAATTAGTAATTCAAGACTAAAGTCATGAAAAACAGTGTAAGACTGTCAGTTTGTTCATGCTGCTATAACAAAAATACCATACTCTTAGTAGCTTTGAAACAACAGAAATAAATCCAGGCATATATGGACAATTTATGACAAGAGCCAAAAATATACAATGGGGAAAGGACAGCCTCTGCAATAAATGGTGTTAGGAAAATTGGACAGTCACACGCAAAAGAATGAAACTGGATCATGACTTTCCACCATAAACAAAAATTAACTCAAAATGGATTAAAGAAATGAACATAAGACCTGAAACCATAACTCCTAGAAGAAAACATAGGCAAAAGACTCCTTGACATAGATCTTGGAGGTGATCTTTTGAGTTTGACATAGAAAGAAAAAGCAACAAAAAGCAAAAATAAACAAGTGGTACTACATCAAACCAAGACGCTTCTGCACAGCAAAAGAAACCATCAACAATGGGGCGCCTGGGTGGCTCAGTTAGTTAAGCGTCTGCCTTCGGTTCAGGTCATGATTCCGGAGTTCTGGGATCAAGTCCCCCACCGGGCTCCCTGCTCAGTGGGGAGCCTGCTTCTCCCTCTCCCCCTGCTGGTGCTCTCCCTCTCTCTCTGTGTCAAATAAATACATAAAGTCTTAAAAAGAAAAAAAAAGAGGGGCGCCTGGGTGGCTCAGATGGTTAAGCGTCTGCCTTCGGCTCAGGTCATGATCCCAGGGTCCTGGGATCTAGCCCCACATTGGGCTCCTGGTTCAGCGGGGAGCCTGCTTCTCCCTCTCCCTCTGCCTCTCTCCCTGCTCGTGCTTTCTCTCTCTCTCTCTCCCTATCTCTGTGTCTCAAATGAATAAATAAAATCTTTAAAAAAAAAAAGAAATCAACAAAATGAAAAGATAACCTACTAAATGGGAGAAAAACTTACAAATCATATATCTAATATGGGGCTAATATCCAAAATATATAAAGATCCCATACAACCTAACAGCAAAACAAAACAAAAAAACCCTCAACATACTAAAAAACAAAAAAACTCCCAATCAAGAAGATCTGAACATTTTTCTAAAAGAGGCATACAGATGGCCAACAAGTGCATAAAAAGATGCTCTACATCATTAATCATCCAGGAAATATAAACCAAAACCACAATGAGATATTACCTCATGCCTATGAGAATGATTATTAACAAAAAGAGTAAAAATAACAAGTGTTGGTGAGGATGTGGAGAAAAGGGAATTAACTGTGCACTGTTTGTGGGAATGTAAATTTGTGCAGCCACTATGAAAAACAAGATGGAGGTTCCTCAAAAAATATGATCCATCAATTCCACTTTTGGGTATTTTTTTGAAGAAAACAAAAACACTAACTTAAGAAGATACATGCATCCCATGTTCACTGCAGCATTATTTACAAGATATGGAAACAAGCCCTGTGTCCATGGATGGATAAATGAAGAAACTGGCGCATACACACACACACACACACACACACACAAACACACACAAAATAGAATATTATTTGGTCATGAAGAAGAATAAAATCCTGCCATTTGTGACAACACGGATGGATCTCAAGGGCATTATGATAAGTGAAATAAGAAAAACAATGACAAATTCTGTATGCCCTCTCTTATAAATGGAATATAAAAAAAAAAAAAAAAATCCAATGAGACCACAGACACAAAGAAAAGATTGGTGATTGCCAGAGGCAGGAATGAAGGGTGGGAAAAATGGGTGAACTATTTTTGGTTTTGCTTTTAGTTTAAATAAATAAGCCACAGAAATTTATTTCTCACTCTTCAGGAGGCTGGAGAGCCTAAGATCAAAATGTGGACGGATTCAGTGTCTGTACTTCTGTTCATAGATGGTGTCTTTTTTACCATGTCCTCACATGGTGGAGGGGGACAGGAGCTTTCCAGGGCTGCTTTTATAAGAGCATTAATCCCAGTCAATAGAGTGGAGCCTAACCTAAAAGCTTAATCATCTCCCAAAGAACCTATCTCCTACCATCACTCTGGAGGTCAGGATTTCAAAATACGAATTCTGGGGGACACACACACTCAGTCCATAACACTTTCTGGAAAACTGTCACAAACCACAAGAGACTGGGAAAACATGCAACTAAATGCAATGCATATCCTGAATTGATCCTAAAATAGAAAGAGGACATCAATGTAAAAACTGGTGAAATCTAAAGAAAGTCAAGTTAATAGTAATGTATCAACGTCATTTCTTAATTTTGATAAATATATCATGGAAATGTAAAATGGTAACAATGAGAGAAACTGGGTGAGGGGTATAAGGTAACAAAAAAAAATTTTTTTTTTTTTAAAGATTTTACTTATTTATTTGAGAGAGAGAAAAAGAGAGAAAGCACCAGTCAGGGGAAGGGCAGAGAAGCAGACTCCCCGCTGAGCAGGGAACCCAACATGGGACTCGATCACCAGGACTCTGGGATCATGACCTGAGCCGAAGGCAGAAGCTTAACCAACTGAGCCACCCAAGTGTCCAAAATTCTTTATTCCAACTTGCAACTTTCCTGCAACTCTAAATTACTAAGAAATAAAAAGTGTATTTCAAAAATAGCAAAGATTTAATCAGACATTTTACCAAAAAAAAAGATACATTAAAAGCAAATGAACACATGAAAATATGCTCATCATTAACTACAGTTTTTGGCAGTTTGTCAACTTGTTACAAAGTTAAACATGCACTCATACAACCCAGCAATGCCACTCCTAGGTATCTATCCAAGAGAAATGAAAATAAATCCATGCACAGACTTGTGCTGGAATGTTCATAGCAACTTCATTTATAACAAACAAAATGCAAACAACCCGAATATATCCATTATTTGGTGAATGGATAAACAAACTGTGGTGTACCCATACATTGGAATACTTTCTAGCAATATAAAGGAATGAACTGATATATATAAAGTTCTTTTTTTTTTTTAAAGATTGAGAGAGGGAACACAAGCAGGGGAGTGGGAGAGGGAGAAGCAGGCTTCCTGCCAAGCAGGGAGCCCAATGCGGGGCTATATCCCAGGACCCTGGGATCATGACCTGAGCCGAAGGCAGACGATTAATGACTGAGCCACCCAGGTGCCCCTTTATATACAAATTTCAAAAGCATATGCTAAATGGAAGCAACCAGACACAAAAGGTTTCTCATATATATATATATGAAAGTAGAATATGAAAACAGAATAATGTAAGTAGAATTACATTTTGGAAAAGGCGAAACAATAGGGACAGAAATATCAGCGCTTGCTATGATCTGGGGGTCAGGTAGGTGGACTGATTACAAGGGTCATGAGGGAACTTTTTGGGGTGATGAAAACATTTTATGCCAAAATGTATCCAATTATATAATTAAATGGAGTGAATTTTACTGAATGTGAATTATACATCTATAAGAATAAAAATAAAGGACACATTTTGAATGCCAAATCAAACAACAAAAAGATATTTACTGAATACCTACCAAATGACAACCATTATGCTAGGCTAGTTTGATAAAATAATGATAATGTCTACTTGCAGAGAATGATGAAATGGGGGGGAAAAAAACAGTTAACGCCTAACTGTTCTCTGGCATCTAGCCTCTATACCTTCCTAAGAATTCGGGCCTCATCTACTTCTCAGTCTTTCCTTGACCACCTACATAAAAGACAGTAAGATTTTAAGTGAGAAAGGCAGAGTAAATATAGTGGAAAAAAAGAGAATACATGAAAATGGAGGGTTAGAAGAGAACCTGGAGGATTTGGGATTAGTTTGGGACTGTTTTCAAAAGATAAAAGTTTTACAAAACTGTGTCCAGGTATAGAAAGCAAACCTACAGGTTAAAGTAGAGTTTTGTTTTAGGAAAAAAGCTTACTGTGTATAACACATGCAATCTAATTATGATATTTCTTAAGAGGCTATAGGAAAAATAAAAGTAAAAATAATTTCCATACCCTGAGACAAATGCAGTAAGACAGAGGTGCCAAGAGTGGCATGAGGGTACCTGACTTAACATAACCTTGACAGGAGATAGCTCTCCTGGGTGGCTAGTCGTTAAGTGTCTGCCTTTGGCTCAGGTCATGATCCCGGGGTCCTGGGATCAAGCCCCATATCGGGCTCCCTGCTAGGCAGGAAGCCTGCTTCTCCCTCTCCCACTCCCCCTGCTTGTGTTCCTGCTCTCATGATCTCTCACTCTGTCAAATAAATAAATAAAATCTTAAAAAAAAAAAAAAAAAGGAGATAGCTCTGATCTGAGTCCTGAAAAATTAGACTATTCCGTAAGTCATTCAATTCTCTCTTGATCTTTTGAACTCAAAAGACTGTAATTACTCGCTTTCATTTTGAAGTATTATGACTTCTTCCTTATTTGATGCAGATGTTTTAAGAACCAGTTTGTTTCTTCCAGCCAGTCACCTGAAAAATGGGAATGAGTTTGTGTAGTATAAATGACACAAAGTATTTTTTATTACAAACAACAAAAAGCATGAGGATAAAAGCAGAATTATAAGATTACAAAGGTATCTCAGAAACCAAAAAGCAAGAAAAAAAAAAATCTGGATCCCACAAGGCTATACCTACCCCTAGAAAGTTGTTAAAAATTCTTCATTCTCTTCATCTTTCTCATTGCTGATTTTCTTTATACAGCTGAGGCTTCATTCTATGTTTAGAGACAAACTAAAACTTGAGAACTTTTGTATATGCACCTATTCAAAGAGGGCCACTCACATTACTCCAAATTTACCTGTTACTGGGTTTAGCACTATATAGAGTAGGTGTCCATCCTTGATCCAATCATGAAGTATGGAGAAAGAGGGCAGGTTCTGCAGTACAAAAGTAAACCACTGAGGTTCTCCAAAGTGAAAGTGGAAGGGAGCAGTTCTCAGAGAATATGTGTTACGTTTAGCAAGGAAGATAATTTCCAGCACAGTTACAAAATAACAGGAAAGCATTTGGCATTCTGGGGGCTGGCATATATTTTATAAACAGATTATGAAATGTAACTAATGTTTGTATGCATTAAATAAAATATATTGGGGCGCCTGGGTGGCTCAGTCATTAAGCGTCTGCCTTCAGCTCAGGTCATGATCCCAGGGTCGTGGGATCAAGCCCCTCATTGGGCTCCTGTTCAGCGAGAGGCCTGCTTCTCCCTCTCCCACTCCCCCTGCTTGTGTTCCCTCTCTCGCTGTCTCTCTCTCTCAAATAAATAAATCTTTAAAAAATTTTTAAAAAAGGGCGCCTGGGTGGCTCAGTTGGTTAAGCGACTGCCTTCGGCTCAGGTCATGATCCTGGAGTCCCAGGATCGAGTCTCACATCGGGCTCCCTGCTCGGCAGGGAGTCTGCTTCTCCCTCTGCCCCTCCCCCCTCTCATGTGCTCTCTCTCATTCTCTCTCTCTGAAATAAATAAAATCTTTAAAAAAAAAATTTTTAAATTTTAAAAAAAATAAAATACATTGTTAAAGGAAAATTATTACTATTTTTTTTTTGTTTATATTACATGTAATACCAACTGAATAGCTCAAGGAACACAGCATTTTCTTATCTCCCCAGACACTTTTCTATGCCCTTATATTTAAGGTCACTACCATGTCTAAAATCAATTTTTGCTTTGGCCTAATAATTAACCTAGAACAAGGACGGTCTGATGCAGCAATGCAACTGTGTAGTGTTAAGTGGATCTTATGAAAAACTGCTGTAATTTTGTGTTTTCTTGAATAGGAAAGGTAGACTGAAGGCACTAAAAGTGTCAGATTTGGCAATAAAATTAAAGGAAACATACTGGGCCTTTAAATTTGTATTGGATAGCCCTCAAAGATTCTTTTGGCTTATCTATATTTGAAAAGAACTGAATCAGTATAAACATTTCTATCATGTTTAAATTCACAAGGTTTCTGTTAACTTAATTCTATTTATATTTTTTTATTTTTTAAAGATTTTATTTATTTATTTGACAGAGGGAGACTCAGTGAGAGAGCGAACACAAGTAGAGGGAGTGGGGGAGGGAGAAGTAAGCTTCCTGCCAAGTAGGGAGCCAGATGTGGAGCTCGAACCCTGGACCCTGGGACCATGACCTGACCCTTAACGACTGAGCCATCCAGGCTCCCCTCTGTTAACTTAATTCTACATAAAAGTGTCTTTTAGGGGTGCCTGCATGGCTCAGTTGGTTAAACCCCTGCCTTAGGCTCAGGTCATAATCTCAGGGTCCTGGGATGGAGCCCTGCATCAGGCTCCCTGCTCAGCGGGGAGTCTGCTTCTCCCTCTGCCTCTGCTCCTCCCCCACTGCTTGTGCTCTCTCTATCTCTTAAATAAATAAATAACTAAATGAATAAATAAATAAATAAATAATCTTAAAAAAAAGTATCTTTTAAATCAGTGGTTCTCAAACTTAAATGCACATTCACCTGGGTAGCTTTTAACCTGATGCTAGAATCTCATTTCAGATCACCTGAATCAGAACCTTTGCAGGTGGACCCAGGCATCAATGTCCAAGGATTGCTTTTGTAAATAAACTTTTACTGTAACATAATCCTTTTCATTTCTTTACATGTTGTCTATAGTTGCAACAGAGACCATATAGCCAGCAAAACCTAAAATATTATCTAGCCCTACACTGAAAAAGTTTGCCAACCCCTGTTCTAATATATTAGATATAAGATTATTCTTAGACATAAGATTAAGAAAAGTGAGAGTGATCAGGGAATAGAATCCCAATTAAATTTATTTATTAAGAAATAAGACCTGTAGTTTGATGTAATTCCAATAGTTTATTTTTCCTTTTGTTTCCCTTGCCTGATGAGAGATATCTAAAAAATGTTGCCATGGCCAATGTTGAAGAGAGTATTGCCTATGTTTCCTTTTATGAGTTTTATGGTTCTAGATCTTACATTTAGGTATTTAATATACTTTGAGTTTATTTTTGTGTTATGTGTAAGAAAGTGGTCCAGTTTCATTGTTTTCATGTAGCTGCCCAGTTTTCCCAACACCACTTACTGAAGAGATTATCCTATCTCAGTTGTATATTCCTGTCTCCTTTGTCATAGATTAATTGACCATATGAATGTGGTACTATAAATTGGTGCAGCCACTACAGAAAATAGTATGGAGGTTCATCAAAGAGTTAAAAATAGAATACCATACAATCTAGTAATTCCACTGCTGGACATTTCAACCCCCCTCAAAAAAGAAAAGAAAACACTAATACTAACACATCAAAAAAATATATGCATCCCTGGGGGGCCTGGGTTGCTCAGTCATTAAGCGTCTGCCTTCGGCTCAGGTCATGATCCCAGGGTCCTGGGATCGAGTCCCACATCGGGCTCCCTGCTAGGCGGGAAGCCTGCTTCTCCCTCTCCCACTCCCCCTGCTCGTGTTCCCTCTTTCGCTGTGTCTCTCTCTGTCAAATAAATAAATAAAATCTTAAAAAAAAAAAAATGCATCCCTATGTCTTGCAGCATTTACAATATCCAAGATATGAAAATTACCCAGGGCGCCTGGGTGGCTCAGTTGGTTAAGCGACTGCCTTCAGCTCAGGTCATGATCCCGGAGTCCCTGGATCGAGTCCCGCATCGGGCTCCCTGCTCGGCAGGGAGTCTGCTTCTCCCTCTGACCCTCCCCCCCTCTCATATGCTCTCTCTCATTCTCTCTCTCACAAATAAATAAATAAAATCTTAAAAAAAAAAAAAAGAAAATTACCTAAATAACCAATGACAAATGAATGGATAAAGAAAATGTGGTATACACACACACACACACACACACACAGGAATATTACTCAGCCATAAAAAAGAACTAAACGATGTCACATTCTTGACAACATGGGATGAACCTAGAGGATCTTATGCTAAGTGAAATAAGTCAGAAAAACTAATACTGTATTATTTCACTTATCTGAGGAATCTAAAACACAAAACAAACAAAAACAGAAATAGACTCATATATCAAGAGAACAAACTGGTGGATGCCAGAGGAGAAGGGGATGGAGCAATGGACAAAATAGGTGAAGGGGATTAAAAGGTACAAACTTCCAGTTATAAAATAAGTCACAGGGATGAAAAGTACAGTAGGGAATACAGTCAATAAAATTGTAATAACCCTGCATGGTGACAGATGGTAACTACCCTTATTGTGGTAAGCATTTTATAATGTGCATAACTGTAGGATCACTATGAAACTAATATAACATTTCATGTCAACTATAGGTCAGTAAAAAAGTAATAAAGTAAATTAAAAATTAAATTAAAAAAATGTGCATGGCACCTGGGTGGTTCATTCGGCCTGCCTTGGGCTCCATGCTGGGCGTGGAGCCTATGCTAAAAAAGTAAAATACATTAAGAAAAAAAAGACCTGCATATATATATATGTATATGTGTATATATATATATACATATATATATATATATATATATATATATATATATATGATGAGAAGGTAGTAGAAATTAAGAAAAAAACATTCCATGGGCACCTGGGTGGCTCATTTGGTTAAGCGTCTGTCTTCGGCTCAGGTCATGATCTCAAGGTCCTGGGATCGAGCCCCATGTCGGGCTCCCTGCTCAGAGGGAAGCCTGCTTTTCCCTCTCCCTCTGCCACTCCCTCTGCTCATGCTCTCTCTCTTTCTCTCAAAAAATAAATAAAATCTTAAAAAAAAAAATCCCAGGCTGCTTTAATGATTGGAGTAGAAGCAGGGACAAAGAATACATATTTATAAATTATAGATTTCAACTTAAGCTAATATATAACTAATGATGTACTACTGAAGTTGGCTGGTGATTTCATTAGTTTTTCTAATGTCATTACTAAAGCAAAAACATATACAGATAATATACTAAGCATAAAGATTTTATCTATATATATATATTATATCTCTGCTGTACTCCAATCAATATCTCAACTTGAATGGAAAATCTAAAACTTCAAAATATTTTGCAAAAGATTTATTTATTTAGAGAGAGTGTGTGTGTGAGCGGGGGAGAGGCAGAGGGAGAGAGGGAGAGGCAGGAAGAGAATCTCAAGCAGACTCCCCGCTGAGCATGGAGTCCAACAGGAAGCTCAATCCTATGACCCTGAGATCATGACCTGAGCTGAAACCAAGGGTCAGATGCATAACCGACTGAGCCACCCAGGCACCCCAAAAGTGTAAAATATTTCAAAGAAAACACAGGAATGGGGCACCTGGGCAGTTCAGTTGGTTAAGCGTCTGACTTTGGCTCAGGTCATAATCTCAGCAGTCCTAGGATCAAGCCCCGAGTAGGGCTCAGAGCTCAGTGGGGAGACTGTTTCTCCCTCTCTCTCAAATAAAATCTTAAAAAAAAGTAAAGAAACGAAAACACAGGAAGAAAAATTAACTCGTAACTATGAGTTAAACATAGTTCTTAGGTATGACACCAAATTTCTGATCAATGAAAAACAAAAACTTGATAAATTGGACTTCACAAAAATTAAAAACTGTTGCTACAACCTGGGAGAAAATATTTGCAAGTTGCACATCTGAAAAAGGACTTATATCCAAAGTTTTTTTTTTTAAAGAAAACAACTCTCAAAACTGAAAACATAAAAATTTTATAATGAGCAAATGATTTGCACAGAGACTTCTCCAAAGAAGATAGACAGTAAATGAGCTCATTAATAGAGCTCAACACCCATTACTATAAGGGAAAAACAAATTAAACCACAATGATACACCACTACACACTTGAGAGGATATCTAAAATCACCAAAATCCAACTCTGAAAATATCTAGTGAAGAAAAAAGCAACTGAAACTCTCAAACATTTCAGGTGGGAATTCAACATGGAACAACTCTGGACAACAGTTTGGCAGTTATTTATGAAATTAAACATCACCATAACCATATGACACAGCATTCTTCCTCTTAGGTATTTGTCCAAGTAAAATAAAAATTTACATTCACACAAAAATGTACATTTGAACATTTTTAGGAGCATTATTCACAATTCCCCAAACTAGAAACAACCAAAGTTATCAATGGGTGAATGCATAAACAAATTGTGATACTTTTATACAATGGAATATTCATTAATAAAAGCAACAAACTCCTAAACATGAAATAGCACGGATGAATGTCAAAAGCATTATGCTAAATGAAAGAAGCCAGCCTGAAAGAATTATATATGATTACATTTATATGATGTTCTGAAAAAAACAAAACTATAAATGAAGAACAGTTCACTGGTTTCCAGAGTCAGGAGTAGGAAACAACCTTACTATGAGGGCAGCACAAGGAAATTTTGAGAGTGAGGGAACCATTCTGTATCCTGATTGTGGTGTTATTTACATGAGTCTGTAAATTTGCCAAAACTCACAAAACTATATGTGA